GATCAGATCAGCGATCCCTCAGCGCTGGTGGCAAGACGGCGCGACGGGTGCGGCCGGGTGCTATCTCTTGCTGTCGCTGTCGCCGGCCGTCAGCGGAGGCACACAGCTCACGACACTCCAGCGCGTCCAGCCCCGGATCGATCGGTGACTGCCTCTGTGGGCAGCGGGCGGCCGCCGTCGGCGACGGAGGCTGGCGAGCCCCAGACGGCATCTCGTGACCCCCTGGCCACCGCCGGCGGGCACGGGCGCACTCTGCGGCGGCGGCGGCGGCGGCGGCGGCGGTGGCGGCGCACCTGCCGACACTAATGGCGCGTGACGGCGTCCGGCCGCCGGCCGGCCGACGATCGGCGGCGGCGTTTTTGCAAACCGAGCGGCCCGCCACCTGTTGGTGGGGGGCTGAACTGCTCCCGGGAGGACATGTCTCGACGTGAGGGTTCTCCTGGTGGGGGAAGGGGGGGGGGGACGAAAGGCGGGCATCGCGGCCTGAGACACCGCGTAGACGTGCTTGGGCAGGCTTGGAAGGGGAGGGGCGGGACGGACTAGCGTGGCTCTGAGCTGTCAAAATGTGGCAGCATGCAACGCGATTTCCTGTCCGTTTCGCGGTAAGAAACGCATCGAGAACAGCACTGCCGCTGCTCCTCCTCTTCACTTTGTGGATGCTGATAAAGCTGCCGGTCAGGTCCGCTTTCGAACTGGCCGTCTTCATTTGGCGGTGCACGCGAAACGAGAGAAAGGTCCGTATTAGAAGCACCGAGCCGATCTTGCGTACATCTGATTATGCCCTCTCTCGAGCTTGCAATGTCGTCACCGCCGGCGCCGGCGGGTATCTGCGGGCCGCAGGTTACTGCGGCCCGCGGGGAGTTCACGCAGTAAGACACTGCCAGGCATTTGACTCGTGCATACTCCTGTATTTTATGTGCGCACGTTCGGAAAATATAGCTGGTAATACAGCCGGTAATCAAACCTCAGAAGCTCGGCTGGGACGGCGGTGGACTGTGCCGATTTCGTAACTTGACGTCGATCAAAGACAGCGCCGCGGAATCGGCGGCGGCGAGCGCACGCGGCCCGCATAAGAGCACCAGGTCACGGCCCGGGGTAGCCCCGTCATTACGCGGCGCGTCCCGCCCGCCGCCGAGCCTCGTCCGTCGAACTCGCCCCAAACAGCACAGGGCTCACGACCGATCCCGGGCGGACACCGCGGCGCGCCCGGCCAGGCGGCGCGACGGACACTCCAGGGGCGTCCCCCGCGTGGGCCGCCATCGCCGAGCGTCCCCTGGCAACGCGGGGCGGGCCGATAACGAGCTGATCGCGACTCCCGGCGTCTAATTGCCCTATTTTCCATTGTCGAATGCCTGGCGTGAAGTCGAGTGGGCTTCCTTCCGACCAGCGCCGTCCCTCGCGCCGGCCGGTCGCCCAGCGGGCGGCTAGGGGCGGCCACACCTGCCGCCGGCGCGCGCCGGCGAAACCCGATCGCTGGAAGTAACGCGGCAAATCGGCGCGGCCGGGTGCGCCGCCACTAATTGGAAGGCGCCGGCTCGGCCGACCCGCGGGTCGGGGCAGGTCACGAGCGCGTGCGGCACGTGCGGCGCCCAGCCGCCGGGGTCAGGGAGCGGTGCAGTCTGGAGAGGAGGCGCCGCGGGCTTGCGAGGCTTTGGTCGTGGTGCTGTGCGTGTGCCTAAATGAGCGTTTCTTCGAGGTCCAGTGAATGAGCGCACGTATGTTTCATTTGGTGTCCTAGTTGCTACTCGAAACATGGTGCTCCCAGCACCTGTTTTCAGACGTCATGAATTGTAGTGGAGCCATTTATTTCAGCAGTGATATGGGGTGAAAAATTGGGATTTGTTCCCCGCCGCGTGCCCTTCGTTCGGGCGCCCCGTGTGAAAGGCGCTGTCGGGGAGTGTGGGAACGGACAGAAAGGGCACGCGAGCGGGAGAGGCACCGGTTCAGGTTCTCGCCTGTCGTGACGCGCACGACCCTGCCATTTCGTTGAGGAAGGGTGCTTAGTGACGGGCTCGTGCGCTGCCGCGGAGGGACCGAACGTACCCTTTGTTCCCTGGCCTTGATGGCCAGGTTTAGGTGGTGCCCACTGTACCAGGGCCGGGCCTGTTCCGTTTTCTGTAGTGTTCCATGCTTTTTCCCGAGTATTTATTTGATCTCTGATCACCTGACGTGCCTTCGTCATCGGCGATCGCCTGATCCGCTGGAGAACAGAGGAGCCGCTCGATCCGCTGGGGGACAGAGGAGCCGCTCGATCGGCTGGGGAACAGAGGAGCCGCTCGATCCGCTGGGGAACAGAGGAGTCGCTCGATCGGCTGGGGAACAGAGGAGCCGCTCGATCCGCTGGGGAACAGAGGAGCTGCCATCCCGTCGCCACCATCGCCGCGCCCCTCAGGACCGCGTCGCGCCGGCACTATCGCGCTGCAGGAGCGTGGCCCGGCGTCTAGACGATGTTTAACCCGATCGGCGCCGGCGCCGGCCGGTTTGTTCCGTGGAAACGCCGAGGCAACGGCCGCGGCGGCGCTCAGTGTTTGTCCGCCCTGGTCACGTGGTGTGCGGACGGGCCGGGCCGCAAGGTCACGTGTCACACGGTGCGCCGCGGCAGCTTCCGGCCGCCCCCGCCCAACTTCCGGCGGCAGCGGCTCGTCACGGGCGCCCTCCGCCGGCCGCGTCGCACCGTGGCCCCGGGGGAATCGGCCAGCCACCACGTTGCGACCCTGGGAACAACCTCGGGCTGGCCGGGTGGCGCCTCGCCCCGGCGACTGGGTGACGTTGCGGGCGCTGGCCGCCGCGGTGTGGGGCGCCCCCAGGTCGGGGTCGTCGCGCTCGTCCCCTCCGCGCCGCCATCGCCGCCCCCGCTGACCGTCACAGCGGTTGAGTCGCACGCTTTGTGAGAGTCGAGGCATGCCGGCGGGGTTCGTCATCGGCGAGGTCCGTGTCTGGTCGCTGGTCGATGCGGCGGATGCATTGTTCGGGCGCGGCGCCGACTCCGTGTGCCCGGTCACGTCCGAGCTGACGCAGCCGCCCCGCCCCGCCCCGTCCCACCAGAGCGCCATCACCTGCCCCGTCTGAGTCAGGCGGGGGCTCCACCGTGGGCCAAAGACTGGACAGCTGGACGTCCAGGGTTTTGAGTCGCCTTGCCACGCAACGCGCTGGATTGCTGCTCTGTGTCAATGACATCGCGGCTCCAAGGGACGTGGAGTGGGGAGTGGGGCAGGCCCTCCCCCAACTTTGCGGGGTCCTGGAGCGAAGTCCGTCCGCCGTGGGCTGACGTCGCCGCCCCGCCCGGACTCGGCGCCGGCGCAGTCCGCTTTAAAGGGCCGGCTGCGCAGGAAGCGGGGCTAACTGTGCGCCGCGGCAACCGGACGTGCCGTCTGGCGCGGCCGCGGGGCCCTCCTCAGGCCGCGCTGTTTGGCCGACGCAGCGCACAGGATGTTGTGCCCATTAGCGGTGACCCGGCGCGCCGCCAGCCTGTCGCTAGCTGTCGCGGCGCTGACCTGTGACGCGCCGTCACCCCCTCGTCGCTATGCGCGGCGCGCGCGGCGTCCTCCTGGTCAGGGGCCACTGGCGCAATATCCGGCGCGCGCCGCCTCGCTGGCCGCGCCGCCCAAGGCTGCCGGCCGGAAGGAACCGGATCTCTGCGCCGGCGAAGGTGCCCCGGGATGGGTGCACGCGCGCGCGCGCGCGCCCCGCACGGGTCGGGGTCCTCCGCGGTGGGGCGTGGCGCGCCCGGAGGAAGTGGACGCGGCGGCGCGGCGCGACGGAAGCTGGCGCGGCAGAGCGGGCGTGGCGGTGGAAGGAAGCGGCCGCCGGCTCGGAAGCCGTGGCGGCCTCCGCCGCGCCCCGTCGGAAACCCCGGTCACGCCGGCCGCCGCCGCTGATGATGAATGAACAATGTCGATTTGTGAATGGGGCGGGCGGAATGCGCCCGCCACGAGCGGCCCCGGTCGGCTGCGGTGTCGCCGCTGAATGGGGTGTCGCCGCTGAATGACGCCAATGCAGGCGTGTCCGATCCCGCGTGGAATGCGGCCGCGCTGCCGGGCGGCGGCGCGCGCCGGCCTGCGACAGCCGGCGCGCGGGAAAACGGCTTGCGGCGGGAATACCGGCCGTGCATGCGGACGCGTGCCGCCCCACACGATCCGTCGCGGTCGGCGCCTTTTTTGCGACCGGCCGCGGTGTGCGTGGCAGGGTTTCCGCGCGCGAGAAGCGGGAAAGTGCGAGGTAGTCACCCGGTGACGCGGACTTTTTCGGCGGTTAGTCTGGCTTTCCTGGTTTGGTGGCGAAGGGGTTGCGCGGTACCGGGGTATGTTAGCTGACTCATGTGAGAAACACGTTTGGAAAGATGCCGTAGACATTGTTCACGCGATCTGGAGATTGTCGCTCCTGATGCTGGCTGGTCATGATTATATATATATATATATATATATATATATATATATATATATATATATATATATATATATATAACATGCATGTGTGTATGGGTGTGGGTGGGTGTGCACATGGTTTAAATTCTGTAACCTGCAAAAACGTGCATCATTGCACGCCATCCTTTGGCGTCCTTCGGCATCCATCACCGCGATACTACGAGCCTGTTCGCCGTCCGCTGGCGTTGCTCGTTGTGCTAACACTGACCTCAGTCAGCTGCATGGGCCTACCGAAGCCGACCGGCCCGGCTAGCTGAGCCAACGCCTCTCGTTCTCCGCGCCCCAACTTCAAATGTCCACCATCTGTGTCTTGACTGCATCTGCATCTGCATCTCCACCATCTGCATCTGTGTCTTGACCTGACGATGCCTCCTCCTGTTCTCACGACCCGAAAAGCACATTGTCCTCGCGACCCGGAGACACGTGTGTCTTATCCTCACGACCCGAAAACATCTGTGTCTCGACCCGGCCGCCTTGGCCCGCTCCAGCGGCGTCCCTCGCGCCCGATCCCCGCCCGGCGGCCGGAGCTCGTGTTCGCCGCCGGCTGACGCGGCTCGTTTTGCTCTCCGTTCGCAGAGTGTTGTTCGTCGCGAGCCAATCCGCGGCCGCGCAGCCCGTCGCCGTCGACGCGGCGGCCGTACACATTCCAGACGCAGCCTTGCCCGGCCATGTACCAGGAGCACTACTGCCTGAACGGCGCCACCTGCTTCAAGGTCAACATCGGCCACAGCCCGCTCTACAACTGCGAGTGAGTGCTGACGGTCCCTTGCTAGGGGGATACTAAGGGGCGGAGTCGCTCATTGAAGGCGCCCTCTTGTGTACCAAGGCTGCGTGAACATGATTTTGGACCCCCGCGAAGGTAAGTGAAGCGGAAGAAATGGCGTCGTGCCCCAGCCCCCCCCCCCCCCCCCCACGCATGTGATGAAGTCTGCGTCGTCGTATGATGTCGTTTCATGCTGTTTTTACGTCGCATCTGTTATTTGTTTACATCCGTGCAATGACTGCTTCGGGCGCGGGGTGGGTTGCGCTGCATGCGAGTGTTCATGTGGTGTGCTGACGACGCCTGTGCCGGCCGCGTCCTGCGGTGGTCGACCCTGTCCTTGTAGACCACCGTAAATGAGAGCCGACCCGACCGCGCTGCATCGGGTTTTTGCATCAAATTACCCGCGCGGAACTCCTAGAAAGTCCCCGTTGCCGGAGATACTGCATTGTTCTGTAGGGCTGCATGCGCCGATCTCTGTATCTCAGCACGCTATGCGGTGATCATGGGAAGTGCTCGCTTTTTGCGAGAGCACGGTGAACGCGGTCGTGACAAGCGCGAGAGCCCAAATCGGGGCATGTGGCCGGCAGCGCTCGGCGCCGCGCGGAATCCGAACGGCGGCGAACGGCGGCGAGATAATCGGGGTCCGAATGCGGCGCAGAGGAATGAGGAGACCGCGGGGACCGCGGCGCTCCCGACGAGGAGACCGCGGCGCTCCCGTTAGGCGACTGGCAGCGCGCAGGCCGCATGCATTGTGTGCCGACACTGGCCATTCTGGATCGCCGTGGTGGGGTCGTCGACACGCGGCAGGTCATCGCGCGCACGGAGGCGGCGAATTAATGGGGGCCGGCGGAACGCCCCTCCCCCCGCCTCCCTGCCGCCGCCGCGTGCCGAAATGTGACATCAGCCCCGTGTTGCTGCATTGAAAGGCGCGGGATAAGTCCTCGCGCCACCGTGCTGTGCCGGGAAGCTCGCCGTCACTGCTGTGCAGTGCGGTGCAGTCATTAATGACGCGGGGCCGCGGCGAGCGTGCGTGTGCGTGCGTGTGGACGTGCATGTGGGCTCGCAGTGCGCGCGCGTCAACCGTCGCGCCGCCGCCGCCGCGTCGCCGGGTGGACGCCGGCGGGACCGGAATTCGGCCAGTGCACGAGAGGCACGCGGCTTTCCGGCGGCCGGCCGCCGGTCACGGCCTGGATTGGCGCTGCCGAACCGGGACAGTCGGCCGGCCTGGCGGTCACCGCCGCTCGTGTCACGTGACACGGGTCAGGCTGACACGGGTCAGGCTGACTTGGGTCAGGCTGACACGGGCTAGGCGGAGGACGAGGGGCGCTCCATCGAGCGCGGGCTAGAGCGCCGCGCTCGGAGCTGGGCTCGCCGGCGGAGGATGAGGGGCGCTCCATCGAGCGCGGGCTAGAGCGCCGCGCTCGGAGCTGGGCTCGACGGTGGAGGACGAGGCGCTCCGTGGAGCCCTGGCCGGTCCGGTCGCTGCCGGCGGCCGGCCGAGCCGAGCTCGACGGTGCGGTGACAGCCGTCAGCGCGTGGCGCCGCCGCGTCCGCAGCTCACCACCGTACGGCTTCCGCGCCAAGACGCGTGCGATGACGACCGTGGTGAACCGATGAACCGCACAACGCCGGCGCGATTTTTGGCGCTGGCGCGATTTTGTCTAAGTGGTTTCGTGTTTGATGAGGCAGGATCAGACGTTATTGTTTGGCAGTAAGCGGTTCGTGCGCTGATGTAGGTCCCGACCGCCGTCGAAATTCGCCATCCAGTGTGCCTTGAATGGCGGGCAACATGGATGGACGCTCCTAGTCTTTGAAGAGTCGGGTCCCTCTCAAATGTGGAGTTTCTTGGGGTCCACTGGTGTCGCGTAGACAGAATCCAGTTCAAATCGTCGTGCGCCCGAGCGATTTTCAAAACGTGACGTGGCTGGCCGCCGGCGCGCTCCTCCAGCGGCATTTTTTCAGGGTGTGTCCTGCCGGTCCGGACCGTCCCGCCGGCGTCCGCCTCTGAAGTCCTCGCGCCATTGAATTCCCCGATCCTCAGCGCGAGAGCGGCGCGCCAAAAAATGCGCGCGCCGCGTGTGGCCGCTAATCCGCGCCCCAGTGTTTCCCTCACGCCCCGCGCCGTGGCGCTGCCGATGCCGGCGTTTTTGTGGCGGTGCCGATTTATGCGCGACCCTGGCCGCCGGGGAGGGGTCACAGTCGCCTGACCCGGCGTGGGTCGACGGGGTGGGGAGGGGGCCACGCCCAGTAGCACGGGCGAATGACGGCGATGTCTTGAGACGGAGGTGTTCGTCGACACAAACCAAAAACAACGCCATCTGTGGGACATGACCACCGCGACGGCAGTCGACCCAGCGTCCATGCATTACGAGTTGGCGCGAGTCTGATCGAGCCTCCGCACTCGCGCAAGCTCTCGAAAGCCTGCTGGGTGTCGCCGGGCATCCACCGCGGAGCCCCCCCTCCCCCCCCCCCCCTTTGGTGGCCCCGGCTCCGCGCGACGGGCCGGGCCAGGGCCCCGCGCGCCGGACCGGGGCCGCGCCGTCAGATTCCGACGCCGTCCGAGTGTCAATAAAAGCCCGATCGGCCCGGTCGCACAATGCGCCGCGCCGAAGGGATTAGCGGCGCACCGTGGGAAGGGCCGCCGCCTATCGCGCCGCGATCGCCGCCGAGGCCCGCCCGCCGGATCGGACGCGCTCGCTGGCGCTGGCGGCGGCAGCAGCGAGGGCGGCTGCGGCGGCGCGCTGCGGGTGGGCTGGTAGGGGCTGGTTGTGGGTGGCTGTGGTTGTGTGGTACGAGGTGCGTGCGGTGGTGGCTAGTTTTGGTTGCGCGACTGGTGCGGTGGCGGGGTGGAAAGTGACTGGTTGTGGCTGTGTGGTCGATTTCGGTGTTTCGCGGGTGTGGCTGTACGGTTGAGTGTGGCGTTGGTTGCAGCTTTTCCTTGCATTGCGCCCTGGCGCTATTGAGCCAGTCATTTGCCGTGCATTTGCGTTTGTGTCAACCGGTGCTCCAGGAGCAGTGGCGGCTGCTGTGTGAAGAGTCCTCGTGTGCAAGCGTTCCTCGTGTGCGCGCGTGACGTGGCGCGCTCAGTCCTCACGTCGTGGTCCGTCGCCGCCGAGGACGCCGCGTGACGACGCGCCGCTCCGGGGAGCGAGAGCGCGGGAGCGCGTCTCTCCCGAGAGCTAAACGGTGTGCTCCCGCGTGTTGCAGGTGTGCAGACGGCTTTATGGGACAGCGGTGCGAATTCAAGGACCTGGACGGCTCCTACTCCCGTGAGTATGGGGAGGCGACCTCGGATGATATGTCCGGTTGCTGGCCACTGCGGGAGCCAGTCGGCCAGTGTCGGGGAGTTGGGGGAGTCTCGGTGGGGCGCTCCCATTGCGATGAAGTCATGTGACGCACACAGTTGGCGGTTGGTGTGGTACGCGTGTCTAGTGCGCTAACGGCGGTCCTTGTTGCTGGGCGACCTGTCGTCGGGGTGTGTTTCTTTGCGTTCCGTTCCGCGCCGTTCCGTTCTGTTTCGTCGACGTTCCGCGGAACTGCCGTTCCGCCGTCGTTCACGTCGCGTTCCGGTGCCGTTCCAGATCTGCGTCGGCCAGGTATGCCCTCGAGTCGCCGTTCGCTGCAGGCGCGCGCGTCCTTGACCTCTGCTGACCTCGTCCTCGCCCCGCCCGACCTCGCGGCGACCTCCGCCGACCTCGTCGCCCCGGCGACTGACCCCGAGAGGACCTCTGCCCGGCCGGGGGCGGTCTCCGGTCGCGCGGCGGTGGCGACCCCGGCGACCTCTGTGACCTCTCCTGACCCGCCTCCGTCCGTCCGCCACCTGTCCTCGGCTCCGCCTTGCGCGCGCGGCTCAGGTAGATGGCGCGACCGTCTCACTCACACTCACTGAGACAGGAGCGCCGGCGTCGGCACGGGGCAGGGCGGGCGCTTGGGATGGGCGACAGGGGCGCGGCGAGGGCAGGCGATGGACGACGGTCGCCCGTCTGGCGACCAGCTCATATGCCCGTTGGCTTCCGATGCTGAGTCTTTCGACTCGTGCGCTCTGATGCTAGTGGTAGATGTCGGCGCGCCGCAAAACCTCACTTACCATCATCATCTTCATCGACTTCACGATGATGACTCACCCGCCTTCAGGCTTTACGGGTGGAAGTTCAGTTCAGTTCAGTCCAGTTCAGCTCAGCATCGCTAGTCGCTTATTGCCGTAAACCATCGCCTGCCCCTGCTGCCCGTCTGGCGTGTGTTTGTGCGCGGGTGTGTGGTGCCGTGCTTCATGTGGTGCGGTCCGTCCGCTGCCCAGGCCGTGGGTGCTCACGCCTTGTCACCCCGCCTGGTCACGCTTCACCCCTCACGCCCGTCGGCGCGGCGGGCGCCGGCCGTGCTCACGCCCGCCGCCCACCGCCGGCAGCCGGGCACCGCCTCACTGCTGACACCTAGCGGTAGACCGGCAAACCACGGGGCGCTGCGGACGCGGGCCGGCCCGCCGCCTCGGAGCCGCGACTCTGGCGAGAGCGCGCGCGCCGGCCTCGCGTCTGCAGCGCCTCGTGACGCGTCTCTCTCACGAGCTGCTTCACTGACGCAGCGTCCGCGGACCGCGTAACCGCGTGTGTCACTAAACCAGCTCGTGCCCGACGGCGTGCGCTCGCCGCCGTGTCGCCAACGGCCGCCCGAACGTGAAGCGTCGCCGCGCGACGGCCGCTGAACTGTCTGGGCGGCCGCGCGCCGGCGTGTGACCGATGCTCGCCACGCGCCCGGCCGGCCCCGTGTGACGGTCAGCTGGGCGGCCGGCGGCTTGACGACGAGGCGGATAGTGCTCTCCCCCCCCCCCCCTTCCCCCTCCCCGACGTTGGCTTGTCTGTCCGTCTGCCGCCAGCGGTGTCTCGCGCTCTTTCGCGCTGGTTTGCCGTTTTGCTGTGGTGTTTCCTGTGGTCCCACTGTCTTCCCGCCCTTCGATCCTGTGGTCCCGCTTGAAAGTATTCTATCTGTTCGCTGTTGCGCCTTTTCGCTGTTCGACGCCCGCGTCCTCTCGTGCTCATTCTCGTCGCCTTCTGCCTCCCCTTTCTCTCCCCCTGGTGCCGCCTCTGTGCCGACTGACGCCGCCTCTGTGCCAACTGACGCCGCCGCTACCGTCGCCAGGCTCGCGGGACGCCATCCTGGAGACGGCCAGCATTGCGGGTGGCGCCGGCGTGGCCCTGCTCGTCTGCGTGCTGCTCACCGGGCTGCTCTACGTGTGGAGCAAGCGGCGCAGGAAATCCCAGGCGTGAGTGCCGCCTCGCCGCGTTCGGCCACGGGCAGTCCCGTTCGGCCGCGTTCAGTCCCGTTCGGCCGCGTTCGGACGCGTTCGGCCGCGTTCAGTCCCGTTCGGCCGGGTTCGGCCGCGTTCAGTCCCGTTCGGCCGCGTTCGGCCGCGTTCAGTCCCGTTCGGCCGCGTTCGGCCGCGTTCAGTCCCGTTCTGTCGCGTTTCGGCCACGTTCAGTCCCGTTCGGCCGCGTACGGTCCCGTTCGGCCGCGTTTGGCCGCGTTCAGTCCCGTTCCGTCGCGTTCCGCCGCGTTTCTGCCGCGTTCGGCCGTGTTCGGCCGTGTTCGGCTGCAGCTGGCAAGCTCCGTCGGCGGGGCTCAGGGCGGGTTTGAGTCCGCGGGTGCTGGTGCGGGCTTCAGCTGGCGGGGTGGGTTCGGATCGGCCTCTTGTCCGGTTTGGGTTAGGTTGAAGTGTGGATTGGACCTGGTGCGGATGGGCGGGCTGGACTGGCTTCGGCTGGGTTCGGCTGTTGCGGTGATTTTGGTGCGGGATTTTTTCGTTCTGCTTCGTTCAGCCGGGTTGGATTGGAATGTTCGTGGTTTCTTTGCGAAAAACGGCGCTTCTGAATGGCGTCGAGGAGAAGTCGAGCGCGAATGAATCACGTACGGCAGTGATACGCCACTGGGCACATGTAGCATACGGGGAAAGAGACGGTTGGTGCCACCTATATGTGGTGGGTGCGCCAGTAGCGACATCTAGAATCAGGCTTCTTCTCGCATAGCTGTCATTGTCTCGTGGCAGTTTGCCAGTGGTTTGCTTCCGAAAGGGGAGGGGCCTTCTTTCCATGCTCAGGGCGGTTACTAGTAATAATTATAAACATACTCTGGTGTGGGACACTAACGCATAAAACGTTGCATTTCCTCCACTGCCAGTATCCGTGCACAGTATTGCTCCACTCATCGCTCATGGCATTGTTCTCATGGGTCGTGTTCGCCAGCTGCGCGGGCTGGTCGACCCATGCCCGGTACCCGCCTCCCCCCCCCCCCCCTCTTGACCTTCCTTGACCGATGACACCCTGCTGACATCGCTCTCCGCTGCTGCCAGCTCCGCCAGTCAGCTGGCGCCCCGGTTCAGCCTGCGGCAAGCCTCGCACGTGGTGCAGATCGACCGTGGCGCCGCGCCGCCGGCTAATCAGCAGCCGACCGCCGGTGACGTCATCGAGCTGCAACCCGCCGATAGGTGGGCGCCGTCGGCCGCCCCGCCTTCGCCACCAGAGGAGCAGCGAACGGTGAGAAGTGCTCCGAACATAGGCGCAAGGAATATCGCGTTATGTGGGGGGGAGGGCTATGGACGACTTGACTCTACATACTCTACCACCCTACTTCACGCCATCCGTACATTTAGGATGCTGTAGCACTGAGCCTATGGCGGTGTATGGAGAGGAGCGTCTGAGAGTGCGTGTGAGATGTCCCGATCCTGGACACCTTTCCCTCTCCTCAGCTCTCACCCTGTTACTGAGTGACGAAAATCCTGGATCAGATCAACAAGAGATATATTGTTGCATGGCATTTGAAGCTGCAAACCCACTAGCGTGTTAAGTTGTCGCTGTGCCTGCCGCGAGATCGCCAGTGAAAACTCTTGCCGTATTTGAGATTCGAACCGGGTCCTGTGCTGTGACGCTGACTAACGCCGCTGCCGCCGCTGTGCCCGCAGACAACCCCGGTGCCGGCGGCAGGCTCGTCACCCGGCCCCGGGCCGCCGGCCGAGCCGCAGAGCCAGCCCTGCGAGCCGCCTCCCCAGCCGCGGTCGCCATGGCAACGGCCGCCAGCCGGCCGCCAGTGTGAGCTAGTCGGTGAACAATCAGTGGAAGGACGCCCCGTGTCATAATTATTATACAAGGTGTTGATGGATTCAAGTTTACGTTTTTGTAAATACGACGTGTATAAACGTGTACGTGTATGGAGTGACTATTTATTGCTGGAGGGCGGCTGCGGCTGGCCGTTGCGTTCTGGCGGGCGGCGGCCGTGCGCGCACGGCGTGGCTCGTGCGCGCAGCGACTTTTTAGCATTTTCTCTTCGAGTGTGATCTCGGCGCCGGACGTAGCGCCGCTCTGGCGGGGTTTTAGCGCAACGATAGTTCTGTTATCGGCCGCGCGATGGCGCGGGGACTGCACGGCCGCGGCGCCCGTCGACTCTGTCTCCATTTTCGATTTTAGTTCCGTCTGCAGTTGGATTGACGTTGGCGTGTTGCTCTGTTCTGTTTTGTTGGTGCAATCTTGTCCAAACGCCCGCTAACTTGGCCCTGGTGGCTTCTGTTGACGTTTTAACGGTGACTTCGTCCCGCCCCTCCAACCCCCCGCGCGACCCAAGCCAGGGGGCTAGAGAGCCATGCTGACATGCTCGGTGGCCTCGGGTGCCTCCTGGTCTGGTCACCAGGTGAATTATCGCCGGCCCCGGCCTCGTGCGCGTGCGCGGAGCTCGCTCCTTTTATCCCAGCGTGTGATTGGAGCGACGGTTCCGCGACTGGCCACTGATTGGCGCAGCGGTTCTGACGCGGCTGCTGATTGGCCCGCGCCTCGGAGGCTGTGTCCCTATTGGCCGAGCCGTGTTCCTCGCTGTTGTCTCAGACACTCCTCGCGTTGTTTGTATAGGTTGAGTGGTCGTGTCGGATAAAGTTCCTGGTATCAGAATTAGCATATGATATAGCACTCACAGAGATTAAATGTGTATATAAATAAACGACTTTGCAATGTATGCTTTTTGTTGACGTGGTGGGAACGACGAAACTGATCGGAGCGAGCCACTCGAATGCACGCCTCCTTGTCTCGCGCGTTCGCCTGCACATACCGAGGACGGGATACGTCAAGGACGAGGACACCGAATAATACAAAGATAATTACACTCATTCCTTTTCAATCAAAATGAAGTGCCCTTACACCATTTTTTATGAATGACGGACAGGGGAGCAGCTTGTCCGCCGGACGCACACCGAGGACTGAGGACACTGAGGACGCACACCGAGGACGGAGGACACTGAGGACGCACACCGAGGACGGAGGACACTGAGGACGCACACCGAGGACAGAGGGCACTGAGGACACAACGAAAACGGAGGACACCGATGACTGACGACGCCGAAGACGGAGGACACTGGTGACGCACTGCAAGGACGGAGGACACTGAGGACGCACTGCAGCGACGGAGGACACAGGATGCGCTGCGAGACCCTTGGCACACGTCACCCGCCAGGGGCATCCCGCGGGGTCGCGCCAGGGTCTCGCGTGAGAGGACGGTGGATCAGCAGCCCGCCGGTTGTAGGTTAGGCACGCCTGAAACCGGTGGCGAAAGACGGCTGAGGTGACGCTGGAGATGACCTGGGTCTGGTCAGCGGGGTGTATCAGGAGTGTTGTCACGCAGTGCCGTAGATCTATGTTCTGAGCGGTGTGGTGAAAGGTAATCCATCGATGGAGCCTTAAGGAGAAGACTTGGTTCAGTGCTATAAGACCATTGTAGCCGGCGCGTCCTAAATCCCAGAGCACCATCATTATGGGGGAGGCTTGGTTTTGGCTTCCTCAAAAACGTATTTACCCAAACCCTTAATGACCAGAGGGGAGAAGAGTGGCTAGAACAACGGCGAGTCATAAGAGGACCTCATTTTTAATCCCCGAGGCTGTATGTGATGACTGGAATCCTGCAGTGCATACATGTCTCGATATTTTAAACTTGTCCATGTCTTTACCGCCGATTTCGACGCATCCTCAGAAGATCCTATATTACGTATATTTTATACCCTCCGCACGCTTGGCGCTCCATAAACATAGACACGTATCATCATTGCCTACTGTGAGAGGCAGCGAGCCCGGGTACACCTGAGAACCAAAAATAATAAAACACATCATTCATGGTAAACGCAACAATAAACAGCGTATACAGACATGAAGGGTTACAAAAATTCCCGATTAAACACCACCTACCACCTGGCAAGTTCAATAAACGCTCGAGGAACTACAAAAAAGGGCTTTCACAGTACCTGCATCACGTCATGAAGGTTACCCCGGGGGTCAGGCCCACAACGAAGGGGTCAGCGACCCACAAGCTGGTGATCCACACCGCCCTAGAGATCAGCGACCCACCGACCCACAAGTTAGTGACCCACCGTCCCTTGAGGATCGGTGACCCACCGCCCTACTAGGGTCAATGACCCACCGCCCAAAAGGTCAATGCCCCCCCATAGGTCAGTGACAAGGTCGACATTCACGGGCCATGTCGTCGTCACCACCTGACCCACGAGAGAGCCCCCGCAGGAGCTTGCGATCAACCCGTCCGAGGACGGTCCACGTGGATAGTCCTCACATCAACACGTGGATAGTCCTCACATCAACACGTGGACAGTTCACATGGACAGTTCTCGTACAGTTTGCGTTATTACCCGAGCCAAACACTGAGCCAGTCCGTCCAGATACAGGCTGACTCACACCCGCAGCTTAATGCAGCCCACACCCGCAGCCTAATGCGGTCCACACTCGCAGCCTAATGCGGTCCACACCCGCAGCTTAATGCGGTCCACACCCGCAGCTTAATGCGGTCCGCACTCGCAGCTTAATGCGGTCCACACCCGCAGCTTAATGCGGTCCACACCGGCAGCTTAATGCCCAGTTTCACAACCTATCGATTCACGACAGTCGGGGAACCTTGAGGTTCAGCGGGAACAGTGAACAGAGGTTTCAGGCCATTGTAGCACACTTTCTTCTCGAGCACCAGCAGGCTGGCAGATGTTTGCAATGTCTAAGATCAGTTTAAGGCTCCAGCCCCTGACGTGTCTGACAATACCAAGATCTGTGGTCAAAGCTCTTGATAAAACTGGATCATCGCAAGGCTAGATCCCATTGATATAATGACGGCTGAAACGGGTTACTGATGTCATAATATCCAGTTCGCATTCCGGCCGTTATGTGGCGGCCTCACCGGCGGTCATTCCAACATCAGTTGATGCGGTCAAGGGTCAACTTGCGGAGGTTGGAGATCGAAGCCGAAGTCGCTGAGTCCGCTGATCAAGTTTTTTGGATCATCTGATCGAGTTTTCGAGATAAGCTGGCCAAGATCCAGATCTGGCCGAACACTCAGATCGGTTGGCGCAATCTCGACAAGACAGCTGGGGTGTTTAGCGGGCCGGCTGCGAGGTCACGCAGTCAGCTGCGAGGTCACGCGGTCAGCTGCGAGGTCACGTAGTCAGCTGGCGTCATCTGAGAATCAGCTGTCTGGATGGTCAGACGGCTGCTGCGGACTGCAGGTCAGCTGACGTGACCTCTAAGTCAGCTGGCCGCATCGGCCGATCAGCTGGCGCGGCGCGGGCGTCAGCTGGCCGGGGGTTCGTCGCCGGCGCTGGCCGCTGGGGCGGCTCTGCGCAGTAGAGGTGCAGACACCCGCCCCGCAGCCCGGCAGAGAAGCTCCGCTGGTAATGACAGGAAGCTGTCGCCGCGGTGGGACGACAGCAGCAGGGAGACGGGCACGCTGGAACACGTCATGACGTCAGTGGCGACGTACGACATCAGCGGTGCTGACGGGTCACTGACGGGCTCGCCGGGAGTCACGAGCTCGTCGCGACGCCGTAGTTGTGTGGATTTGAAACTGTTTGACCTCGGAGCTTCGGCCCTGCGGCTAGGATCTGAGCGGGAGGTAGTGCGGTACGGTGGGGCAATATTATGACGTTAAAATGGTGTATTTCCTTCCGGAAACCAGACCGAAGTCAGGCACTAATCATCCGGGGATTGCCTGCAGGCAGGCAGGCACTTATCAGTTGCAGACAACTGGTTATTAGTTGAATACATTGTCGACACACGCTGTTTTGGCCGTCGGTGTTGCACAACTGACGACTGAACTGATATGCCTGTACTCCATATTCGTATTCGCAATGGTAGTTATGCCAAACCCGATGTGGGGCAGAGCAACTCTCACACAGATACTCTGAAGACCCACACAAACACTCTCTCAAAACACAGATTTTGCAACACTGACTAAAGAGTTTGTGGTGACCGGACCTACATACACTGTAGATCCTGCCCCTCCCCCCTGGCGCCCCGCAGGGTAGGTCCTGCCCCCCCCCCCCCCCTTGGCGCCCCACAGGGAGATCTGGTGGCTCAGACGAATGCCGGCGAGTCACATAGACTGTTGTAGCTGGAGGAGGGCGGGAGGACACAATCGAGCCCCCAATATAACATGAGGCTCAGCTATGCAAATATCAAATCTGATGTTAGAATTAGCTATCTGCTCTTCGATAGAGACGCCATGCAGTTCACGTATGCGCTTGCTTTGCGGTGTGCGAGCAACACCCTGCGGGCATGTCTGCGGCAGTTTACAGGCCTGGCACCAGCAGACAAATCTGAATGAAGCATTAATAAGTGACAAAAGAGGAAGCTTTGCTCGATGATTTCTGATTCGGCCCGAACGACGGTTGCACCACACGCACAGCGCGACCGCATGGGGAGTGGACGGCGCTGACCTGGCGACCTTGAGCAGGCTGTGGTTTGACCTTGACCGCCTGACAGTGTCACAGAGCCGGCGCCGGAAGCACGGCTCCGAGCGCAGGTCCCGAATGAGGAGGATCTCCAGCAGAGAGGCCACGACCGGAGCTGGAGACGGACACACGTTAGGCGGGTGTCAGCCGTCGGTGGTGAGAGCGCGCGGGCACGTGGCAGAGCTGTCGATATCATGTGCTGGAGGGCCATCCAGCGAAGGACATGGAAAGAAGATCACATCGTGATGAATTGTGACCGAGCTGATGGTTCGACGGGTGAGATATTTGCGGGACTGCTACATCGTTATCATGGGTGTTACAACCACTGGGGTCGGCTCAGTCTGGGCCCAAAAAAGACTTCAGGTCAGGCGGGGCTATTTGTTTTTTTTACCATGCAAAATGGCATCGAAACAGAAATGAACCACCGGAATGTCTAACGTGCGGTTACGCCGATGGGTCTCCCAGCACACTGTTACTTATTTTCGGCCGCATACCTGCGCCAGAACCGAGGAGATAAGGTTAAGACGAGACAGTGATTCCTTCTTAACACACCGCGTGTTGCTAGCAGTAAGCGAGGACATAAGCAATTCATGGCACGAACACCTCGCCTGGCGAATAAAGTCGTTCAGCATGGAAACGGGCGGTGTTCAACGCTGGCAAAGCACGAAACACAACGCTGTTTTGCCAGGTAGCCGGCCGGCAGGCGCTTTTGATGCACCATTCTTGTCCTTAAACGTCGGCTTTCATGGATTTACGTCCGAGAAAGAAGTGAACAGGAAGAAATGCAACAGCTCAAACCATGCGACGCAGGCAATTCATCGATCACCTAGACATGGTCGTCCCCGCCCCTCTCACCACAACAAAAATCCCACCCACTGACCGCCCCCTGACCTGCGGACCGATGCCAGCCCGCCATAAACCGTCCTGTCGAGCAAGCAAACATGTGTCAAGCAAACCAACCAAACAAACCTGTCCTGTACCCGCCGGTCGCGCGGCCCGTCGTGGCACTGTTGGTGTTGGTGATGACGTCGTTGTCGTTGTTGGTGAGCGTGTTGGTGTTGGTGTTAACCGGATTGGCGTTGGCCGCCGTGGTGATGACGTCGTTGTCCGTGTTGGTCAGCGACGGGCTGTTGGTGTTAGCTATCGTCGTCGTGTCGGCGTCGTTGATGGTGACGGTGACGCTGCCGGCGGCGCCGCCCGACGCCGCCGACGAGGCCGCCGCCGTCGACACCGTCGTC